TAAGATCTTGAATGAAGACTGACAATCTAACTGCTCCAAGAACAAACTTATTTGAGTCGCTAACATTAACAAGCTGTAGTGTTCTCAAATTTAGATTATTTAATAGACTTTTCAAAATGATCATTTGTAAGACTAGTGACATATTGAATTTAACACTGTCATGAGTAGGCTTTGACTCTGAAATCCTCTCAGTTTATGTGGGAATTTCAATAGGAGCATGAACTAAAATACTATGGCAACAAAATGTAGCTTTGCTGCAAATAATTTATCTCTGAATGAGGTTATTAACACATGACATTGGCCATTAACCAGATAATCTCATTTTTGGTGAGTATGACTTTAAAATCTACAGCTGCCTATCTATGTACATTCTCAATGATGACAGTTTAATATCTGCTTATGGGAGGTCTTACTGACTCTTGGCAGGTAGAACTGATCAGTGAATTATCATGCCCTGTTTAGTGACAGATTTCTACAAATGTACTCAGCTTTAAGTGGTTAATTATAGTACAATACTAAGTAAATGGTTAAATTCTTCCTTCTAGAAATATTTTGCCAAAAATAAGGTCTATAGATGAATAACTATCTCCAGTAACTTGCTAATTGATACTGCATCTGATAAAGGGACTTAAAAAAAAAAAGAACGGAAAGAGGTTTCTAAGAGATGTGCTATTTTCTTCTTTGTTACTTCAAAGCATTATAGAGCAAGCAGAGTTTCAAATTGTTGTGGCCCCAGCTGTGAATGAATCTAATTTGGCTCTTGATCACAGAGTTAATAAGCTTAGTACTCTGTATTTCAGGGCATAAGTCCTTGGTCCCTCATGAGAAGGTGATTGTAAAGAAAAAAAGAAACACCAAAGTGCCCAGTTACTTCCTGTAAAATAATCTGTCCATTAACTCTCGTGGTCAGCGGTAGTTCAGCCGACCATAATTCATTTGTAAGGCATCAGAAAAGATTTAGTCTTTGTTTCCATCTCCTGGAACTTTTGCCTGGACAAAGGCCTTCAGTTACCAAAAACGTGATGAGAACAGACTTGTTTTGAAAGATATGCTGATGTGTAATACATCCAAACTGTTTTCTGTTCTTATCAAATTAATTCCCATTGTTTTTAGAAACTGGATACAAATAGAAAAATTCTAAAAATCTCAGTCTACCTGGCCACAAAATATTGTCAGCATAATTTTAATACGAATGTTTAAAAAAAAAAAAACATTTCCTGGTACTTTTCTAGAAAGTCCCTAGCTCCCTAAGACTTAATGTAATATAGGATTGAACAAACTTATTGGCTCAATATATGGGCACAAATAAGCCCTCTGCAGGAATATAGTTACTTGGTACACATGATTAAGCAAAGACTGAAAATCCATACCCAGAGGAAAATTGGATATTCTTAGGAAAGATTTTCAGTCTAATGAAACAAATAGAGGGCATGAACAGGGTACAGCCACTTGTTATATTAAACTTTGCTATCTCTGTGACGTCTGACTACCAAATAAGATGATCCATTTCTCTTAATAGTAATCTTGCTTTTTTTTTTTTTTTTTTGGAGACAGAGTCATACTTGGTTGTCCTGGGTAGAGTGCTGTGGCATCATAGCTCATAGCAACCTCAAACTCTTGGGCTCAAGTGATCCTTCTGTCTCAGACTCACAAGTAGCTGAGACTACAGGCACCTGCCACAACCCCCAGCCAACCTTTCTATTTTTAGTAGAGATGGGATCTCACTCTTGCTCAGGCTGGTTTTAAACTCCTTTAAACTTTAAGCAATCTACCCACCTTAACCTTCCAAAGTGCTAGGATTACAGGTGTGAGCCAGGGAGCTAGGTTGGTTTTTTTGTTGTTGTTTTTTTTTTTTTTTTGAGACAAAATCTTGTTCTGTCACCCAGGCTAGAGAGCTGTGATATCATAGCTCACAGCAACCTCAAACTCTTGGGCTCAAGTGATTCTCTTGCCTCAGCCTCCCAAGTAGCTGGGACTACAGGTATCTGCCACAACACCTGGCTATTTTTAGAGACCCGGGTCTCTATTCAGTTTAGGATGGTCTTGAACTTGTGAGCTTAGCAATCTGCCTCCCTTGGCCTCCCAGAGTGCTAATATTTCAGGTGTGAACCATCACATCAGTTCATGGTATTCTTGTTTTGAAGGTTTTATTAGACTTCAGTATTTTAATCACAGACTGGTAAGAAATTCATCATTTTTCACATAAATAAAGCAAAAAAAAAAAAAGCCCTAGATATGTATTACAGAAAAGAATATTACTGAGGATGATGCTTCAAGTTTGAAAGCCATAAAATTCATTTTTTTTTAAACTCAGAAACTTCAGAATTAAGGAATCAGAGAGCAAAAGGAGATTAGTCATGGGCTGCTGAATTTTCCCAGCCAAAGATCCAATCTCTCTCAAGTTATTTTCAGTATGACTGTTCCAGCCCATCAGAAATAAGCTTGTTTGTCTGATACAGAAAACTGTGTCTTCTTCCACCCCCAGTAGCCCCATAGTTCTCCTCCTGTAGGTTCCCAGCTTCTACACAGAATATTAATGAAATTTGGCAGACTTGCTGACCCAAAGAAAGCTGTTTGGGCCTTCATTTTCGAAGTAAGTTATAAATAATTCAAAATCAAACTAATCCCACACTCCCTCACATATTTTTTATGGTCAATGTTCAAGAGAAACCTGCTTTTTCATAGAGACCACTCCATCTAACTATGGTCTGGTGCTCAAAGATAGAGAACCATGCCATTAAAAAAGTCAAAGTGTGAGAATACACCTCACATACTTCTGAAATAGTTTGCAGAAATGTAAAGTTAACTGTAATTTAAAGTGGGCAGAATAAACAAAGTTCTGACCACATAGGAGCCATTCATGATAACATCAATCTAAGAATTTATACTGTACTTCCTATGATCACAACTTGGGCCCTGATCTTCTGGTGAATTGTCTACTATTATTTAGCTGAATAACAACTTCTACCCTTCTCCATGCTTCAAAATCACACCTTAAAACCCCACCAGTTCTTTACATCCTGCTGAGTTCCTTCTCATCCGGCCATAGTTCTTTTAGTTATCATTGCTCACGTGAGCAGAACTTTTCGAACAACGTCTAAAGAAGAAGAGAAGTGGTTCCCCTCTGGCTGGCAGGGCTCATCCTTCAAGACTTCATTCTGAAATCAACTTTCCAAAGGGGATCCACCACCTTTGGCCTTGACCCACCAGCCCACTGAGGCGCAAGCCACATGTGTGCTTGTTTTGTTCTTATTTGCTTAAACCTAAACACCTTAGTTTTCCTTCCCACCCCATGTGAACAATTACAGCTTCAGAGAAGTCCAGGCACAGACCTGTTTTGCCATCTGGCTACTACTGAATCTGTCGCTAAAGCTGACAAGGAACCCCCCGAAGAAGCGGAAAACCCTGGAAATCGTCCTAAGAGACTGAAATCTAGGTTTTTGCTTCTCTCGGTCTAATAAAGAAGTATGTCTGTTTGGAGAAAAGAATAAAATGCAATCTCGAAAACAGAACAAGTATCAGAGCATCTTTTTGTCATGCATATTATCAAAATAAAGTAGAAAATTCTACAAAAACAAACAGCCAGATAAGTTTTCCATACAATTAACCAGTGGGCACCAGACTATACTAGTAGAGGATAGAGTGACAATAAATCTAAAGAAATTATTTGAAATCTGTCAAAAGTATATCTGGAATAATAGAAAATTAGGGTGGTATATATTCAGCCACCCTGGTAACAAAAATATAAACAGCCATTCAGTTGCTCAGTATGGGCTGGGCCTGGTATTTTACAAATATTATTTCTGGTCCATAAAATAATTCTACAGACTATGTATTACTTTGCCACTTTGGAAATGAAGAAATTGACACTTTCCTAACATACCACAACTCGCACTCAGTGCTGAGTGCTTCACATGCGTTATTTTATTTAATATTCACAAAGTTCAAGAATTTGTTTCAATTCAAAAGGCTATGAGGCAGCTGAGCTAGTTGCTGACTCAAGGTCACTCCAAGCCCCTGCGCCTTCCATGTACCACCTCTCAGCTGCATCAGAACATGCTGTTTGTCATTAAATATCCTAACCATGTGGGACAGAAGGCGTCCGAGTGGCTGCCCCCGCTTTGTAGACTGTAACAGCAGAAACCAGGACTATGTTTTATTTGCCTTTATTCCTTTCACGCCTATCCCAGTCCTTGGCACACAGTAGCCACTCCAGCAATATTTGCTAAGCTGAACATTTCAAAAGAGTAACAGTGCCTTGGGGTAAAAAACTCAAGGTCAGAACACAGGCTATATATCCAGCACTTACTGCAACAGGGACGATACAGAGGAGGATTCAGACAAGATAAATACAGAAATGGAGACCAAAAGAGGAAGTCAAACTGCTGTCTCCCAACTGTGATCTGTACAATATCCGCAGCAGAGGCACCTGAACTCCAACTGAATGTAAAAATCCACAGGTGCAGCCCACGGTATCTGCAAATCAGAAACTCCAGGGCAGGGATCTGAGCATCTGTGCTATCATGCACTCCCTAGATAATTCTTAAACCCAGGAAACCAAAAGGCCCAGGGCATAGGAAGTTGCGAGAGGCAATTGTGCTGAAACTGAGAATTAGATGCACAGAAAGGAAGACCAGCTATTATCTTACCTATAAAGGATTGATCTTTTACAAATAATCCTCCTCCTGGGACATGGCAGTAAACTTTGATAACTGACTGAGTGCTGGCACGAACACAAGGGAAGAGTATTGAGGATCAGAGTGATTGTGTAGGGAACAGAGAAAACAAGCCCAATAATTTGCCTTAAAAAAAAAAAAAAAAAAACTTCCTGTGAAAACGTGAGGGTAAAGCATAAAGTGTCTTTTGTTATTTACTGCACCCTCTAATTAAATCACCAGAGATTTCCCGTGCATTAAAGCCTGCCTTCTTCTGGCCATTTTTGGACCCCCTTCTTGTTTGAAATAAAATGGCATTTCTGTAGAACGAGAACAGAGTCTTACTTGAAGGGTGGAGGTAGATAATGTCCTTCACGGTGAAGTCTCGGGACTGAGCGGCTCTCAGACAATCAGACAGCAGGCTCAGGAGCAGGAGCCAGGCCAGAGCAGGGCCAGGTCCCATGGCAGACCGCACTGTCACTCATGCAGAGGGCCTGGGAGTGGGGACTCGGGATGACAGGAGACAACGCACACCTGCAACGCGAAAAAAGACTCATCTCAGTGTCCACCTGGAGACAGCCTCAGAGGCATGGCTGATATGCCATGTGGGTGAGATGGGCCGGGAGGGACAGAGAGCCATAGGCACAGGATGTGGGGAGACATGGAGAGAAACTTTATAAACAGTAATTTTAGAGCACTTAGAACATTCCAGCCCAGATCTATTCTTAATCAGGTTGTGAAAGCTCCATTGGTAGCCGTCCCTCTCATACCCAGCAGAGATGGTATCAAGAGAGATTGAATTTTAATGAAATCCAGCTATTTTTGCCAGAAGGCCAAGGGATGGCTGCTAGAGTGCAACAATAAAGAAGCCAGGTGCAAAAGCTCAGAAGTATTTCCCTGATAACAGTGCTGGCCTGGTTGGAGCGTGGCCTTACTGGGCAGTGATGCCCCTGCAAACCTCTACAGGACAGACTTTCAGATATGGGAAAACAAAAAAATATAGATTAGCTGACCTCTCTAAAACCAAAAAGTGCCTGGGTAACACAGAGTGTCTTTAACGTAACTAATATTTGCTGGCCACATACTACTGAAGTCCTTTACACACCCCAATTCCCTCTCCCCGCAGCTCTCTCAGGAAAGGCACTATTATTATTACCCCATTTTGAGCAAACTGAGGCTCAGCAAGTGAGCAGAGGTGCTGACTCACAGCCAGGCAGCATGGCTATTGCGTCTGCATTATTAAACATTAGGCAGTGCTGCCTTCCTCTTAAGAGGGATTCAAGGTGTACAAACAAAAGCTGATAACATCAAGTTATGACTGTAGCACTAAGCAATCATCTACTTCATGTTTTATTCTGATTCTGTCCTTTTCACTCAAAAACGAGGACAGTGCAAATTTGTGATAGGCTTGACTTGTCCAGCTTACTTGGAATGCAGAGATGTATCTTAATTTTCATATGTGTGCTGTTTGCTTGTTGTCATCTTGGTTTCCTGTAAAGCTTGTTCTTCCTATTCTACTATAGATATTTTTCCAAGCACCATCATCTCTATAGCTCATGCAAGGAGTCAAGGTTAGGTATTCAGTTTATTTTAACCTAGCCTAAAAAGCGTGATGTGGATATTTTGTTCACAGATTTTAATCTTGTTAACAAGACTTTAAAAATATTCATAGTATAACAAAATTGTAAAGTTACTTTGTAAAAGCAAATAGACAATGGGTAAATATACTATGAAATAGGAACTCAATTCAGAAAATCAACAAGGCCTAAGCAGATATTAACATACTACAAAACAATATTAATCTGAACAGAACGATAGAAAATGTAAAAATGTGGCTCATGCCTGTAATCCTAGCACTCTGGGAGGCTGAGGCAGGAGAATCCCTTGAGGCCAGGAGTTGGAGACCAGCCTAAGCAAGAATAAGATCTCATCTCTCTTGTCTTAAAAAAAAAAAGAAGAAGAAGAAAGGAAAAGAAAAATTAGCTGGGCATGGTGACATGTGCCTGTAATCTCAGCTACTTGTAAAACTGAGGCAGGATTGCTTGAGCCCAGGAGTCTGAGGTTGCAGTGAGCTATGATCACTCCACTGCACTCTAGCCCAGGCCGAGAGAGCGTCACCCTGTCTCGAAAGAAAAGAAAAGCACAAATGAATTCACAAAGTGGAGCCACTATAAGGAGCCTAGAAACAGACCCAATTGTAGAATACAATGTTATAAAATTACAGGACAATATTAAATGAATAGTATTACCAACTTGATTAAAATTTTGAAAAACAGAAACCATACAATGCACAATCACTAAAATTACCTCCACGTGTATTAATGTGTTCATTATTTATTTTTAAATTGGCAAACTGTTAGAAAATAGAGTTCTTATCACTCGTATCAGCTTGATGACACCAGCCTTTTGTTTTTCAGGCTTACTATATGCTATATTCCATTGATAGTTTGATTCTCCCAGCAAACTTGCATTCAAGAAGACAACAGGTTGCTCATTCACTTAATAAATGTGACCACCTGGCACTGTGCTAGTTTGGTTAAACAATATGATGAGAAAACAAACATACATCATTGCCTCTTTCCCTGACAAGTTAGCAACCGAGTGACAGAGACAATCCTTATCTCATCTTAAATGAATGCAGTAGTGCTTCATTGCACCTGTTCTGGCTTTTCTCTGCCAGCATGGTGAGGTTGGTAAGCCCGGCTGCAGCTGAGGGCCACCTCTGCACAACACCCCATAGAGGCAAGATTTTGCCTCAGCCCACACCTCTATCAACCCCCAATCTGCAGCAGAGCTCAATTTGAGAGTTGAAGATTAAAATGGCTCAAACATTATGTTTGCATCTGTAAACATAAATGTAAGCAAATGTACACAGACAAAGCCTGGGAAGGAAAATACAAAATAAAGATATTAGAGCAGCGCCCGTGGCTCAAAGGAGTAGGGCGCCGGCCCCACATAACCAGAGGTGGCGGGTTCAAACCCAGCCCCGGCCAAAAAAAAAAAAAAAACCCCTGCAAAATAAAGACATTAAAAACAGTGTATTAGTTTGTTCAGAGTGCTATAAAAAGGACCGTACCCAACGAAGAAGCTGGAAGTTCAAGATGAAGGTGTGGGTAAAGTTGGTCTCTTTGGAGGCCTCTCTCCTTGGCTGGAGAATGGCTGCCTTCTCGCTGTGTCCTCACGTGGATGTTTCTTTGTGCATACGTCGTCCTAGTGTCCGCTCCTTGTCTTAAAAGGACACTAGTCAGATCAGATCAGGGCTCCACCTTTATGACCTCTTTTAGTCTTAATTACCCCCTTAAAGGCCCTTTCTCCAAATATGGTCACATGTTGCGGTCAGTACTGGGGGTTGGGGCTTCAACGCACTAATCTGGGGGAAGTATGCTGCAGCCGATTGAATAAGATTTTTTAGGGAACATTTTCTGTCACATGACTTGTCACAGTGATGGTATTTCATAATTTTAAAATATTGTAAATGATCTGACATGCCACAGAGGGCCCTAATGTCCTTCGAGGATGGTAGAACTGGTTGCTCCTCAGAGCAGGAACTTTCCTGCCTCAGAACCCAGCCACAGAAAAGACTCTGGGAACATTTGCCTCAGATGCTTCTAATACCTCAGAGAAGGTCTCCCACCCTCATGTATGCCCTTTGCCAACTCATTCTGTGCTTTGCCATTAGAGGTGAAGGATAAAAACATCATATCTGTTAAAAAGAAAAAGAAGAAACCCAGATCCAAGCTGCAGAATAGAAGTTAATTTGAAGTCATAGCTCCTCTTACCATATCTCTGACTCCAAATATGACCAGTAGGAGTGGGAATGCCTTGGAGTGGTATTTAAAATTTTGCCAGTAATATTAAGAATATAGAAACTGATCTTCATAGTCAAGTAAAAAAAAGATAGTAAAGAAAACTGACAGCAAAATCTAAATTTAAATTGAGATTTAAATCAATTTAGAAAGATCAGGCCGGGCACAGTGGCTCACACCTGTAATCCCAGTACTCTGGGAGGCCGAAGCAGGTGGATTGCTTGAGCTCACAAATTTGAGAGCAGCCTGAGCAAAAGCAAGACCCCTTGTCTACTAAAAATAGAAAAACTGAGGCAAGAGGATCACTTGAGTCCAAGAGTTGGAGGTTGCTGTGAGCTATGACGGCACAACACTCTACCCAAGGCAACAGCTTGAGACTCCATTTCAAAAAAAATAAATAAATAAACAAATAAAAATAAATAAATTGATGAAGATTAAGTATGGCAGAACTTTTGTTCCAGTTACCTTAAAAAAAGGAGGACTCATACAGTTAGGTGGCATGACTTTAATTTTTAATTTACTCTTCTGCTGTAAACATTGGCAGCATTTTGCATTTCTGTTTTATTCCTTTTAACAGTCTGTTGAAATTGCTAATATGCTTCCCTGCCCCCCATACCTCTTTTATCATCTATTCGCTCTGAGTCTGCAAACTAAGAGCGAGTAGAGACCTCGACAGGACCTCACCTGTGGAGGGACAACAGTCTGGGTTTGAGAGCAGGTGTTAATTATCAATCTTCAAAATAGTGACGACAAAAAGCTAGTTATAGAATTTAAATTCAGCTTCTCCTCGAAGTTTCTCTTTTTAGCTCCTGCCTATGCTCCTAAGACCTACTCAATTCTAGAAAATGCTAAAAGGCACATTATTTAAAAATTGTTCTAATCTACTTTGGTCTAAAAACACAGGTAAAAATGTTGGTAGAGAACTAGCTCAGTTTTTAAATACAAAAGAAGCAAACAAACAAAAAATGATGATGATTATGGTAGGCTGAATAATGTCCCCAAAGGCGCCCATGTCACAATCCCCAGAACCCGTGAGTATGTTACCTTACAGGGTGAAAGGGACTCTGTAGATGTGTTAAGGTTAGGATTTTGAGACAGGCAGATCATGCTAGATTACCCAAGGGAGCCCGATATAATCACAAAAGTCCTCCTGACAGGGGCAGGAGGGTCAGATTCAGATTTCAGGGCTTTGAAAGCAGGAGTCGTCCAGATGTGAGGAAGAGGTCATGAGCTAAGGAATGCAGGTAGGTTCTAGAAGCTGAAAAAGGCGAGGAAATGGAAGCCTCCAGAAGGAACCAGGCCTGCCAACATCTGGAATGTAGCCCAATGAGACTGATTTTACACTTCTGACTTCCAGAACTCTAAGGTAATAAAATTATTTTAAGTGACAAATTTGTTACGAGTTTATATAGCAGCAGTAGGAAACTAATACAACTGTTTTAAAATAACACAGTATATCCTATTTATAGAAATAAGTAGGAAATTAAAACCACCCTTGTCATTTTCCTGGATTTTGAGACACAGTCTCACTTTTTCACCCTCAGTAGAGTGCTATGGCATCATAGCTCACAGCAACTTCAAACTGTTGGGCTCAAGTGATCCTCTAGCCTCAGTCTCCCAAGTAGCTGGGACCAGAAGTACTCACCATAACCCCCAGCTAGTTTTTCCATTTT